ATCTTTTTTTGAGTCACTATATCTACTTGAATCTTGGAACCGAACTCTAGTGATTACTGCTCCTACATATTAGAAAATCAAAAAAAAGAGATCTTTACATTGGTTTCTTCAAGAAGCGAACATTAAAATGTTAATGAAACATTTGCCATTATTGTCACGTGGCAAGTGGCAACAATAGAAGAAGGACCCACAATGCAGGAAGGCCAAAAATATAATAGTAGTAACCCTGGAACTACTATGAGTTTGTAGTTCCAGGGTTACAGAACTTCAAACTCATACCAAGACAAAACACATCAAGTAACACAACACTAATCTACTTAATCTTTTATGTTTGTATGCATGCCCATTTGTTTTTGTTTTTGTCTTGTGTGTGATTACATTGTGTGTGCCTTGCTAGAACCAGAATGCAGAATGCAGCATACTGTAAACTACTTTTCACACATAAAAAAGACAGAAAAGAAAAAAGTCGGATTAGTGGTGTGGCGTCATCCAATTTCAAAGTGCACAGTGGAAGATCAATTATCTGCTTTGATGAGATGGTGTTAATGAAGTGAAAGTCAATCAGAGGAGTCTGTACGTGTTCAGCGTGAGCCATGTGCAGCACATATAAATCGCACTTCAGATCAAACCGCTTAACACATGTTCAGAGGAATAATGGCCAGATTTAGATTATTTATTTAAAACTACAGGGACAATGTACAATAAACATAAACCTCAAAGGTGCATTGTTTCAGGTTATGGCTCTTGAGAATAATAATAAAAATAATCTCCACCTGTAGTCCCTGGGAGCTCACGTTTCATTAGTTTATTCCAATAAACATTCTCACACACGATGACAAAGCATTGCCTTCTAATAAATACTTTCTGTCAATAGATCAGTGCTGCTCCTTTTTCCCCCACCACAATTTTTTCCCAACACAAATAACCGTGTTTATAGTGATAAAATAAATGATGGTTGACTAAACGCAAGCCTTAATTGTCAATCTATAGGGGGTAACATCAAATTCTTATAAAAATGTGCTTAAATGCAAAGAAACTCAACTATTTAGTCATAAAATCACTGGAATGTTCAGTTATTATATTAAAGAATAGGCCCAAAGAGAACAGAAGTATACCATCTATATCTACAGTATACTCTGTGTCAGGCCTATTGGTTACAAGTAAATACCAATTCATATAAAAGTAAATATCAACACCTTCAGCTATTTTTCTTCACAGTTTGCACATATAGAATCTTGAAATTTAAATGAAATAAGTCGTCATTGATGCCCTAAAACTGTCATATTTCTGTATTTTATTTGACTTACAGAAATATTGGAACAATATTCTAACTTTGCCTTGTATAAACCGTATTTATAAGTCTGTCTACGTATATACTGTTTGTGCAGAGGGGCAAATGGAGACGATGTAAGCTTTAGAAGGGTCTTTTAGCTTCTTTACACTTTAGACAAAAGTGTAAATAAGCTGTAGTACTTTACTGCTTAAGTGTTAGCATTGCTTAACACTTCTGTCAAATTAAAAGAACACCCTAAGCCTTAAACATAAAAGAAGACATTATTCACATTTTACAGTAAATTTAAACTGTCTCCAAATACAAAGGATCGGAAATGTTGTAATCTACCTATAAATTCAACATTTTCGGCTCAAATGAATGAATAAATGCAATGCTGTTAAAAAGTGAATGCTCAAAGACTGTAGCAAAGAACCACATTTAGGCTGTTTAAACCTGTTTTTTTTCTGTATTACTAAACTAAATCAACCAAACCATCTCTGCACCCGTTGAGACATCTAAAAGCGCTAAAATGCGACTAAAAACTCTCTCCATACTTGAACCACACCTGAGCCAAACTTTATACAAACCTCTTCCTCTCCTTTAAGACTCTTTTACATCTTATTCCTGCCCCTCCTTTTTGCGAAACCTTTTGTCTAAGTCATTCTCTCTGCTCTCCGCGGGACACCTCTCGCTCTGCCACTGGTGCTGTTTATGTCTGACGGCTTTTTTTGAAACGCGCGTCTATGTGGGTGTCTTGTAGAATGCCACCCGCTGATTCTGGAATATTTAGAGTGCGTTTGCTAGACCCGGTTCAGTCGAGCAAAAGATTAGGGCTCTATACGGGACCTAAACATGAGTCACATCTGTCGTATATATACCTTTTGGACCAAATTACCAGCTTCATAATGGCCCACTTTTACTGACAGATGGGGCTTCCCTTGTGTTTGCACCTCGAGTCGAAAGCTGTAAAAGTCTTTGTTTTGGGGACAAAGATGTTGAAATTGGCTGCGGTTGAGGTCAGAGATCCTTCGATACTTGTGAATTAGTACATTGATTAATCTGTGTGCTCATCTAATACAACAGAGTATTGATAAACACATCTGCTCCTCTGAGATGCAATCCTGGGTCAGCATCTAATTTGAAAACAATAAGACAAGGGAAAGACAAGTTCTTTTGTATATAGCACGGTTCACACACAAGGCAACTCAACAAAACAAGATACAAAATAATCTCACAAGGCATTCAAATCATAAATAATCACGGTATACAGTACAAAGAGTGAAGAAAAATCCCTCAGTTGTATGCACAGCTAAACAGAGAACAAGCCTGTCTCACATTTTCAGGAAGACTGTTCCAGGTTTTAGCAGCATGAATCTGAAATACTGCCTCCCCTTGTCTAGTACTGACTCTGGGCACCAGCAGGAGGCCAGTCCCTGTACTCCTCAGAGTCCCAGCAGGAGGCCAGTCCCTGTACTCCTCAGAGTCCCAGCAGGAGGCCAGTCCCTGTGCTCTTCAGAGTCCCAGCATTAGGCCAGTCCCTGTGCTCCGAATTGATTTGGTTCATATGGCACAAGCATGTCTCAGATATACTTTGGTGGCTTCCTTTCAAATTAACAATGTTCACATGCTTTAAATAACTTGATGGATTAGTTTTGGCTGTAAATCAGAATCAGAATCATTTTTTATTGCCACGTAAGTAACAGGAAGTCACAGATTTGGAAAATGCTTTGGCTCAGTGCAACAGTCAGAAAGAGAGGTAAAGAGTAGAGAAGGCACAATACAAAATAAAAAACAGCAACACTTCTAAGGAATAAAATCTAAAATAGAATTATTACGATTACAATTACTGTGATAGTTAAAATGATAATGAGACTATTTACTTTGTCGTTTCATGGTTTGAATGTGAAATAGTATCTCCAGGCAAAAATGTATGGTGTGCTTTTCACAACATAAATTACTTCAATACGGAAAAGAAATCGTATTAAATCCAGTACATTTTATTGGTTATTGTTGTTTAACATCCAGCTAAATTCTCTGATCGTGAGGGTGTAATTCTAAGGCCATGTTTTGAGCAATTTGGAAACTCTGGTAAAAGTGCCATATAAATAAAGTTGATTGGATTGAACAGTCGATGGCCCTTAACAGACCCCACAAACCAACAAATAATCCCTGAAGCCCCACACTTTACCACAGATGAAATTCAGTCGCAATAGTGGCTGAAAGTGGGTCTGGATTTATGATCAGGCCGTTTCTATATGAAATAAGGAGAGATAGGAAAACTCTACAACAATTGACCTAAAATATCATATTATTCACAATACTTACCCACCAACAGGGGGTATTGTAATTGTATGTGTGTGTGTGTGTGTGTGTGTGTGCTCTGCTTTGAGTTATGGTGTGTGATGGGATGTGACGGTAAGAAGACACCATTCCAATTTTGACAATCCTTGATCAAACAGGCCATTATTTATGTTGATTATTTTCACTGAGCGTTTATCCTTATGTTTATATCTTACATTATTAACGAGAAGCAAAACAAAAGCACTGGAAGCTGTTTTTTACGCACCGCACACTTTATGTAGTGCAAAAGTGTGTGTTTGATTCAATTTTTTAGGGGTCAGTATAGTTTAGTTTGGACTTTTTGGGAGGCACAGTGGCGCAGACGGGGCCTTACTATGTGGAGTTTGCATGTTCTCCCTGTGTCTGTGTAGGTTTCCGCTACCACTAAAAACATGTACGATATGTGAGCGTTGTATGCTTGTGAGTGTGAGATGGAAATGAACAACAAAAAGCTACAAACTGATGTACAGTTACTGCTGTTAACCCTTGTGCTACCCTTGGGTCAAAAGAAATACCCTAAATGACCCAGGGCGGGTCAAGTTAGGAAAAATCATCAAAATTCAAAATTATTTAAGGTATTTTCAAATCACTGTGGCGCTTGAATCTGACCCGAGGATAGCACAAGCACACTGTCCCATCCAAAAAAATACAAATACAAATTTCATTAGTTGTCTAGATCCCAAAAGGTCATCAAACTTGGGATTATTTTTGAGTGATTCCCCATTTCATGACACAAACTTAATCACTATTTGTCACCAAAAGGTTCCTGGTTTGACTTGGAACTCCCTTGCTCTGGCACTTTCGTGAGGCCTGAGATTTTAGAATAAGTGCAAATACAGATTCAAATTCAATTCAATTCCATTTATTGTTGTATAGCCCTAAATCACAGCAGTAGTTATGTTGAAGGACTTTACAAAGCTGTTGATTCTCCAACACAAACACAGGCAAAACAATGAAATATATAAAAACCTTTGGTCCATAACCTTTGGTCTATAAATGTCTATAACGTACATTTAACAATAAACAGGTTTAGTTAGTTAGGGTCAATCTACTGGGTAACAAAAACATATATTTTTTAAATAGTCCAGGGTTTTCCAGCTGAATTAGACTAAATTTGATGCTCTGAGTCCGAAAATGACCTTGGTTTTGCTCAATCAGGTCAGGATTTTTTGCTACAGATTTTTATTTTTTTAATCGATTTTGCGTAAATAACAAATTTCTGCGGATCATCAACTGAGAAACCCTTGACGTTTTATCCATTTTCCTCAAGAAATAAAAGTCAACGTATCCAAAGTCATTCAGTTTTTGTTTACTCCATCAAATTTGATAAGCAGAATTCATAATATTAGTAAAACAATGAGCGTTACGTGACACAAAATTTTAGAGTTCACAGCATAAATCGGCGTTTCTTCGATTCCCGTGTGTGAGCAGTTGCTGGGTTGTCTCTCTTCAGCGACCAGCAGTAGTCCGCCGTCATGACTGCGTCCCACCTTCCCTGGTACCTCTCCTCCATTTTGCGCATGTCCTGATGGAACCTTTCTCCCTGCTCGTCGCTCATCGCCCCGAGGTTTTCAGGAAACTTCTCCATGTGTGAGAACAGGAAGTGAACCTTTATACTCATCAAACACGCAAGTTTTTGGAAGGCCTTTATCATCTTGCTGATGAGTATGGCGTGGTTTGCTGCCTTCGTGTTCCCCAGGAAGTTGTTCACCACCTGCACAAATGATGTCCACGCGGCACACTCTAGCTCTGTTCATGGAGTTTTGGAACTCTGTGACCTTTATGAGCTGCCATATCTGTGGGCCATCGAAAATGCCGGCTTTCAGCTTCTCAATGGTCAGTCGAGGAAAGGCTCGGCACAGGTAGTTGAAGCACCTCCCATCCTTGTCCAGAGCGCGCGTGAACTGTTTCATTAATCCAAGCTTCATTTGTAGCGGTGGGATCAATATCTTCTCCCGGTCAACAAGAGGTTCGTTTATGATGTTTCTCACCCCAGGTACTAACTGCTCTCGCACCGGCCACTCTTTCTTTACATAGTGCTGGGCTCTGTCTCGACTGTCCCACATACATATAAAGCATGGGTACTTCGTGAACCCGGACTGCTGACCAAGTAGAAAGTTCACCATCTTTAAGTCGACGCAGCTGATCCATTGGTGCTGCTCATATTGGATTTTGTCGAGCACGTACTTCACTGCTCCATATTTCTCTTTGAGACTTGTGGAGTGCGCAAGAGGGATTGAGGCGAACTGGTTCCCGTTGTGGAGGAGCACAGACTTCAAAGAGCGCTTGTTGCTGTCAATGAAGAGTCGCCAATCTCTCGGATCGTATTGAGGAGCGCCGAGTTTACCAAGAAGACCGGCGACATCTCGGCAGTACACGAGGTCTTCCTCCTGGCAGAAGTAGCCCATGTAGTCCTCGTGCCTTCTACGAAAGAAAGTGATACGCGCGTCCTCTCCAAGTAGATTTTTCTCTTTGAGTCTGGAGGTTAACAGTCCGGAGTAAGGAAGTCTTTGACAAGCTGAGATCCCGAACCAGATCATTAAGCTCACATTGTGAAAAGGGCTGCGGACCATCTTGTTCCTTATACTCCTCTTCTGCATATCCTCCCTCGTCTGCACTGGTGGCCTCGTGTCGCTGTCGGGAAGCTCTGTGAACGCTGGTACAGGAATTTCTTCGCAGGTCGGGGTACTGGAGGCTGTGCCGATTCTTCCGGTTGATGCCAGTAGTATTGATGGCGCAGAAGTAACAATCCGATGCATGGTCTCGCGGCTCCCTCCAAACCATCGGAATCCCAAACTTCAGTGAAGTTTTCGTGCCCTTCGTCCACCGCCAGAGGTATTCCACGCACGTCTTGCACACCGTGTGCGGTTCCCAGGATTTATCTTGGTGACCCAGCTTGACTTTAAAGTAGGCCTCATAGGCGTGCTTTACAAATCCTGTGATATTCTTCCTGTCCACTGACAGCGTGTAATCTCCGCAGATGTAACAGAAAACATCAGGATCATTCCTGCAAGACCGTCGCGCCGAAGCCATATCAATCAACTGAATCAATTTGTTTGGCTCGTCAGGTAGGCCTTATGCAAGATATTTGTTGCTATGGGGAAGATTATTTTTTTTAGTATGGTCTGCTTTTGACTTGTTGCGTTACGTCAGGGAGAGGTGAGGAAGTGCGTGTCTTCAGTATGACACGCGTTTGTTTAATTGTAGATTGGCGCGCTTTGTTATATTTTTAGAATGTCGCAGCGCGAATTTAGTGATTGGGTGGCCATAAATAGGGAGTATCTTGTTGTGTAGCAAATTTATGTTTTTTGGTTTAATTTGTACCCTCTATGATTTAACTGGATTAGTTTGTTTATAATAAAATATCTCCTCGTCGCTACGGATTTGTTATTGAAACTCTCGCACACACCACACACGTAAAACGTAGACGTACGTAATCCGTAACACTATGGCTGTATCTCAAAAAGTTGACCTGATAGAGCAAAATGCATGTGATATTCGGACTCAGAACACCAAAATTAGTCTAAATCAGTTGAGAAACCCCTGACCATTTTTTGGCTGTCAACTCAGCAAAATTCTTATGCTCTGAGTAGCCATATGTAAGATTTTCATGTCAACTCACCATTACATGGCCCTAATCTGTCAGAAAGCGTTAATAAACCATGCTCTTTTTGAACACTTCTTTAACTGACAGCAGTAGTTCACCCGAGATATTTGGATTTCAAAATTAGTTTTACAGCCCCTAAATGTTGTTATTGTTTTAATTTGACTTCCCGCCCTCCATTGTTTTACCAATCAGAAAGTCTGTGATCCAGGTTGCCAGAACTAACACCATCGAGCTAATCTCATTGATAAGGTAACTTGTGGCCGCAGAACTGAAAAAGGTCTCGTTATGTTCTCAAATTATCAATGACTAAGCAAGGAACTAAAGGAGGATTTCTATTGGGGCTTTTGTGTAAAAGGTGTTGGTTATAGATTTGTTGTTGACCAAATTTTTGTCCACTCATATTATGGTCCCAGCTAGATTCGTGTGCATATCAGGCAACCTGAGTCAGGGAGAGTGGGAGAGGTTGCAGTACAGTTTTTGGCCAGATTATTACGTATTCAGATTTTATACGTAATTCTTGCTTTTACATTATGCTAGATTTCGAGATTTAAGATTTGCTTCCTTATCATGCTAAAGCTAGAGATTTTATACTTGCCTCTTCATAATGCTTAAGCTAGATCATTTGCTTATTTTTATGTGAAAGCTAGAGTTTATTTCATTTCATTTTTGTACACAGTTATCGTTCATTTTTCTTGTGTCATGGGGTCCTCATTCCTACTGTTCTGTAACTGCTGATGCAACAGTGAAATGTTTTGCACTGTAGGATGAAGATCTCTATATTCATCCTTTCTCTACGTCAGATACATTGGTCCAGTAAAAACAGACTGAACCAGGTCTAAACCGGTTGTCAGTGTGCGCCCGGGGGTCTTCAGTGTCCTCTGTGTGACAGGACGGACCCTCTCCCTCTCCGCCTGGTCCTTTTGGTCCTTTGTTTATGGCTTCCTTATGGACCCGCTGGTTGCTACGAGCGATGGAACGGCAGGAGCAGCAGATGGGGATGGAAGCCTCAGCAGGTGAAGCTTAAGGATGAAGCCTATAACAGTGTTGAAAGTTCTGACAGGCAAAGCGCTGTGTCTGAGCTGTCTGTGTGCAATTTAGTGAAGACTTCCCACCGATAGTCCACCCATTGGGCTATACTCATCACATCTCGCACTCATCTCCCACTCGCTAACCCGATAGACACCTCTTGTTTCAACCAATTCAATTCTGTGCCATTTTCAATGTTGTGTATTTTGTATAGCCCTGTGCTTTAATGTTAAATTGCCTTTATACCCACCGCTGTCAGACTGTACAACAAGTCACTGATTTTATGTCATGCGGTGTGTATTGTATTTGGTTTTATTTTGACATTAATTATTGGTGGTTCATTTCAGTTTTACTCCCTGTCCCCCCCTGTCTTGGTTGTCTGCCCTGATGTGTTTCACTTTTGTCTCTGTCTGTACCATGTGCTCCTCTCCCCTGGTTGCTGGTCCATTGTATTGTCAATGTCTGTTCCGTTCTGTTCCAGGTCCGTTTGGATTTTGATTTTGTTTTCACCTGCACTTCTTTTTAGCATCATTAACTTTTTATTTTTGACGGTGCTGCATTTTTGGGTCCTCCTTTCCACCTCGTGACATTATAAGCGGTACTTTGAAGTATATTTTTTTCATTTATTTAACACATACTGGAGGATGTATTAGCTTCTGTTTCTTCACCTGTCCTTAGCTTGTTTCACTGATTGAAACCAGTGAGGTTTTTTTTCAAGTGCAGCTTTTCTTGATATTTGGTCTTAAAAATATGTAATAGACCGACTTAAATAAGGTGAAATATCTTCCCTAAACAGACCTGGAGCTGATTTTTGCTCCATCCACAATAACATCTTGTCTGTTTTCAAACTCACATGCTCCTTGGACTATGAAGACAAGGACCGTTTTCTGAGGAATTTACAAACCGTTGAATTTGCCATCACAGATCAGAGAATCAAAGAGTTCAAACACAAGAATTGTGATGATGAAAAACACATAAAGCCATTAGTCCATAAGCGGCAAATGACCAATGTTCATAAATATTTATCAAGTCCATCACTGCATATTTTTTCATTGCATTCATGAAATTCTAGAGAAACATCCATCAGGTTTTTTTTTCACCAGAACTCGCTTTTACTCAGACTGGTGAATATAACTTGAAATAAAGCAAAAGCAGTTAGTTGAAAGGCTCCCAAATGCTAACTGCTAGCAAGTCAACAGTGTGTTGCTATGGTAACTGTGGTAATTAACTGCTCACGCTTCAAAAATAAAAAGGTAATTTAACAAAAATATTGGCATAGAACTAAAACTATACTAAAACTAACACATAGAAACACAAAAAGTCACAAACATACACCGACATGTACATGCGCTGAGTAATTGTATTTCTAAATTTAAAAGCCGTCAAATGTGATATTGATAATATTGCATTGGTGATGAGATGGAGGAGTGACGAGGGGAGCGTTGGATGAGCAGATATGAGCTCGGGGCCTTGGTGGTTACTTTAATCATAGTTGATGGAGGGTGGATAATATCACCGCAGTTTAAAACCTGAAAAACTTTCTATTTTTTGTTGTTTTGAATCAGTTATGCAATTTTAAATGTCCAAAATTGTAAATTGTAGATTGTATTTTGACATTTGTAAACACAGATATTGTGGATAATTATTACGTAGACAAAAGTACTGCTTAATACAAATATTTAAAACAATTCATTAGATTTTTCATTTCTTTTTACTTTTTTAACCTTTCGTTTATGTGAATAGAACTCAATGTGTCAATATATATTTAGAACTTGATTAACAATTTATCAGCTCAAAATGAATCTGAACACGGCGAGAAAATACTCTCAGCTTCATTTTATGATAAATCGATACGTTGGTTCATAACTTATATTTTCTACACTATGAGATTATTCCCTTACGCCTCAGATTATTTGATTCTGCTCAATTTGATTTTGTATGTGTATATTCTTGGTTCATTCAGCTGGATTGAGTTAGATAGTGCAATATCAAGTCCCCGTTGCCTCCACACTCCCGGCTGCGAACGGGCCTGTTACAGAGCCGTACTGTAATAGTATTCACAATTTAGTTTGTGTTTCTTCGGCCCCTGCAGCAGACGCTCTGATATGAAACAGTCCCCTGCAGGAGGCGCTTGTTCACACTGCTTGTTTATCACACTCAGAGCCACATTCCCACCCTGAGTTCTCCTCATGGGACCACCCGTTATCTGCACGTGTGGGGGAAGGGGAGGGGAGGGGAGGTCCAGGAGCACGGTTGGACTCATGGATCTATAATAATAACTGGACAGGGTCAAACTAGCTTTTAGCTGAAGGTGTCATGGTATGGACTTCCTGTTAATGTGTCTGGTTTTATTTTGATATATTTTTTTTCCCTTGTTGTGAGTTTTACTTCCTGTCTGTCTCGTTGATTGTTTGCCCCTCCCTGATGTGCTATACCTGTGTCTACCTGTGTGTATTTAGACCCTGTGCTCATGACCTCTTGTTGTCAGTCCATTGTTGTTTCCCCCCATGTCTTGTTCCTGGTGTCAGTTTTTTGTTGTTGTTGTTGTTGCATCTATTAAATTAAATTATTTCTGCATTTCTGTTTTTGGGTCCTTCCTTGTTTATCCGTGACAAAAGGACCCACGGGCTCAGGGTCTTCCCGCGGTACTGCAGACTAAACAAGACAAAATTAATGTGGACTATCCAGAAATGTTACCCATAGAACTCAAAGTAAACTAAAACTAAAACCTACAGCTTTCATAAAGGTCGGATTTTGTGGGGATTTTTGTGTCTCTTGTCATCCTGAACTTTTTTTCTTGTTAAATCCAATAGTTTTCTATAAATCCCACACTTCAGTGCAACAAACTGGTTTTCCTCCCGCTCCAGCTCTGCTCTGATTGGTCAGAACGCTCGTGTTCGTGCATGAGAGCCTCACACGCGTCTCTGTTAGTATTTGGCACAAAACAGCATGGGAGGTCGTCAACTACGCAAAACCGAGAGGACCAGAGAAATGCTCAAATATAGGTGGACTCAGCGAATCTTTTGGTGCCTGGTGGCTTCATGCGCCATTGAGCACAAGCCATTGATTTGAAAAAGCCGCCATCTTTGATCGCTGGGGCTTGGTTGGACTGACAGTGTCCCTCTGTGGAGCAGCTCCTTCTGCTTGAGTTCGAGAAGCTGTGAACTATACACACATTTACATACACACTTGGTTTGATTTTCATTCCACTGTTTAGCTACACATTATGATATTTTTGATAACATAGCATCTTAATGTTTTTGAATCATTTATATTTTAGTCCCTGGGAAAGATTCCGCTAGACCTCTGAAGCTACGCAGGGCAGCTGTTGGCAGACTGAAGCGTCAGAGCTCTCGTCTGCCAACAACTGTTTCAAGGTTCAACTGTTGTCCCCTCAGGA